AAGCAACACTCTAGCCAGCCCTCCCTTTACAGATGGGAGAATTAGGTGACTGCCCCACAAACTGTCAACTGGTCACAATGACAGTATACCCCAGAATATAATATCTTTATAGTCTATGAAGAAACAACTTTTTTATGCATAAAGTGATAAATCAAAATAACAAATGACTAAATAAAATACATTCTATCGCCTACCAGGTTTGGAATTTGAATTCTCGGGCACTTCACAAGATAGTGGCATGGGGAGAGAATATTCCCCTGTGCTCACTGTCCTATATCTGAGCATCTAGAACCTCAGCCCACATGTCCACGCTCCATCTGCACACCGGCACACAGACGTGCCTTAGGCCTGGCGACAACCCACCAGAAGTGCAGCAGGGACCCAGGAGGAAGTCCATATGGGCCCTAGGACATTTGAGGTCACCAAAGAGGAATCTGGTGACAAAGAGGAGGGAATGGGCAGTGGGTGGGAAGGTCTCCTTGGTCTGTGTCCCTGGCCCTGCGGACAGCTCTCTCCAGCGGGCACAAAGCCAGGACACAATCCCCTAATGCAGAGGCTCCTCTCACCCAGGTCTAAGAATGGAACATGCTTTGAGAGAGCAGTATGGTTCCCGCTCAGCTACCAACAGACCCTCCCTCTCCATATATCTTCATCTTTGCGAGTATGAATACACATTTTTACAGCAACTCTTTTCTACGAAGCACTGATAGCGATACCCAGAAAATTTGTTGGAAGCTTGCTCTGTATTTCTACAATGAAAGAATCTAACAGGGCAACTGAATGATATTTTTTAGGTAATGCAGTACTGTCTCATAATTCAGCTGGGTTTTGATAGTTCTTTTTATTCACTCTTGTATTTTTTTGTAGTCACCATCATTTATATAGAACTTAGTATGTGTAAGACATGGCTAATCACATTTCATCTCAATATCTTATTTGCATAACTGAAAACCTTCGGAAAGGGCCTATGACCCCTATTTTACACAGAAGGAAGCTGAGATTCAAGTAGATTAGATAATTTGCCCAAGGTTGTACTGATAATTCTGTGGCACATGGTGGGCTGACACCTACTTGACTATCTCATTTCTAAATTCACTTCTTTCTACTCTTATCAACTGCCCCTGAAATGAAAGTATACATCTATTCCCCCTTGTTTCTTTAAGATAAGTAAATTATTCCAGAGAAAGAGAAGTTTTACTATTTCTGTAACAGTATAATATAAATTACATAATAAGATTTTTTTTTCAAATTTCTACTTATAATTGTAGTCTGACAGGGCTTTTGGAGATACAAAATCAGACTGGAAGAAGTTAAGAACTATTAAAAGGAAAGGATATTAAAAGTACTCACTGACATTTCAGGAAATTGCTATTCTAATATAATTTTCAGAGGGAAAAATCTTATAGAATGTTTTATTCAGAAATCACCTCCCATACTAAGTCTCGCATTTTTAAACCAGTTTCTATATAAAAAGGATTAAGAGAATTTTTTAAAGTGAGTAATTCTTCCCATGGATATTTATTTTCTGTTCAGTAGAAGGTACCACACAGAAGCTGCTCTTTACGTTTTGATTACTTAAAAGAAAAAGAAAAACAAAGCACGTTCAGAATTCTAACAGAAATTCTCCAATTAGTATAAAAATAACTGAAACAAAGTCAGACAGCTTTATGGTGAAAACAGACAAATTAACTTTAGCTTTTCCTAAGGAACATGCTTCATGGGCAGCATTTTGAGATGAATGGATGATAAATTATTTTTTAAAACCTCTGAGGGTGTGGTGGACACAGAGTTAGTTGCTTCCTGTCAGTCAAGCTAAGCCCTTCCTTTGGTACTTTCTTGATTTTCACTGGGTGATTCACATTGTGCCTTTGAAGGAAGTTAAGTCCACCTCTGGCAGTATTTGGCACAGGCCTTGAACCAGGAAGCAATTGTCCTACTAGTTACTGGCAGCCATCTTGTGACCCCAAGAAGAGACTAACATGGTGTGAAACTGCGGAAAACAGAACGAAGAGGAGGGCATAGACCAAGTTCTCCATCTCAGGATTGTTTTACTGAATCAAACCAAATATAAGCCCACCCTATCTCTGGGTGACACATCAATGAGACTTATTTAAGTTAATTTGACCTTTGTCTTCTGTGACTTACAATCAAATGTGTCCTAATTGACAGAGAAGGTCCGACAAGTGAGAAAGTTCATTGACTTCTTAGCTGGTCAAGGAAGTGTAAACAAAAATAGTATATTTCACATTTGGATTTAGAAAAACAATTTTAAATGCTAGCTAATAATGAGTGTAATTATTAATCCTGATTAAAAATAGTAGGGCATAAGTGATTGCTCCTATCAAACAGAAAGTGTGGGAAAATTGCACCTCAGATGCTTCATAAAAACATCAGCCATTTAAAAAAATGTGAAAAGAACGAAGAAGACAGAGGAGGATACAAACTTTGGAGTGATTCTGAGACATCCAAGGCAAACGGTAAAGATCACATGTGCTAAGAAAATGATGGTGCTGCAGGAAAAAAAGTAATGGATTTAAGCCATTTGTGAAGGTTATCCAGCCTTCACACAATCCCACTTGGATTTCTGCACAGTATTAATCTATTCTTGAAATAAGAAATTTCTTCATGAGCAATTTGACATATATTTCTACTTTCTTCAGAGATAAAGAAGAGATCCTTTGAAGGCAGCCTTATAGGAATATTAACACGATATTAATATTAACTTGTAATGGCTTATGAAAAAATAATGTCCAAGTCATTTTCTCTGTGGAATTACACAAGATATGAATCACAGCTTGCGCTACCAGTGAGGAAAATGTATAATTTAGTACAAAAGGCCAAGAGTTCCTTCGGAAACAGAGGGAAGCCTCCATATGGGAGGTGACTTAAGTTCTAGGGGAAAATCTAAAACCCAAGATGACTAAGAGCCAGGACCCTGCAGCTCAGCAGGACCCACCCTCCAGCCCCACGCCAAGACAAAGGCAAAACAAGCTAAGCCATGAGGTGGGTCTAACAAGTAGGGAAGAAAAACGAAGAATCTTCTGAGGGGAAAAGTCACAGAGGTTTCCAGTGTATGGATGAAGTGCTCTGGGGAAAGAAATATTAATTTTGATGACACGCTAAGATGCTGAGTTATTTGATTTGTCATAAAAATGAAAGGAATTAACTTTTGGTGGCAAAGGCTTAGTCATTTGGCATAAAATCCTTGGGTTTGGCTTGTCTTTAGTTTGTTGATTCACGCTCATGGAAAAAGGGACAGTTATTTTTGTTGGGAGAAAAAGTTGGGAAATTCAGAGAAGTAACTCTGCCCTGTTTTCACTCAGGCAGCTCCAGTAGGAGGACAACAGGACAGGGAGCGTAGGGGGGACTCCCACAGCCCAGAGACGGCGAGCTCACACAGACGGTGTAAACAGAACGCGTCATGGAGTCGGGAGAAGAAAGAACTTATCATTACTTCTGACAGTCATTTAAGATAATAAAAAGTTACGTAACTCACTCTCCCAAGACTCCTCCTGACTTATTTTTACATCTATTTTACCTCATGTAAGTTTTCTTTGCAGAATATTCCCATACTCGCTGGAAATAATTCTGGAACATTCTTCTATATTGTCAAAGTCCAGTCAGAACTAGAAACCCTAAATCAGCAGTTCTCAACCTGTGGGTAGTGACCTATCCTACATATGGTATGTAGATACCTACATGGCATCCTACATATCAGATATTTACATTACGATTCATAACAGTAGCAAAATTACAGTTATGAGGTAGCAATAAAAATAATTTTATGGTTGAGGGGGTCACCACAACATGAGGAACTGTATTAAAGGGTCATGGCATTAGGAAGGTTGAGGACCACTGCCCTAAATAAAGAGGGTAGATTAATTTAATTTAATCTAAATTAAATTGAAAGCATTTAAAAAAGAAAGAAACCAGTGTTAGAGTAAATTTAAATTTTTATATTATTATCAGAATTATTTCTGGATCTAGCTTCTGGGATATATGTAAATTCAATAATTAGACCTTCCACATCTTTATCCAAGCTATTTTTTTTTCAGTATTGGAAAGAGTATGTTCTGAGCCAGTACTGAGGAAAATCCCTCAAAATTTTGGGTATGGCTACTCAGACAATCACCCACCCATTTAGCTGTGTTATTATTTACTTAGTTCCTATTTTTCCATCTCATCTACCAGGGTAGCCACTAATTCATTCAACAATCACTTACTGAATGCCTCTTATGTGCCAGGCCCTGAAAGTACTGGAATAAATATTTGGCTCTGGCCTCAAAAAAATCACATTCTAACCCATCCATGGGTCAGGAAATAATTACACCACGTGATAGGTATAGCACCTGGGAGCCCATGAGATTTCATCTGTGTTGACATCTTCCTGGAAATTTAATATCATTACATATCTACTATATTTCCAGACTTAATCTAATTAGCATAATGCACTCACACTGAACCCACGGGACTCCAAGGGATCCTGCTTCCTTCTCGTAAACCACTCAACACCCATCTCTTCAGGGACGTGTTTTAGTTAGTATCTGTTCAGGATCAATGTATTGCTTATGGTCATAGATTTAAAAGTTTCTATTATTTGAACATTTGCTTATTTTTTAAAAATTCAAAATCATTTATCAAAACTGTATTTTAAGCCAAAGGCTATCTGTGATTATTGATAAATTATTTTTTATGATCAATTTAAAAGAAAAAAATGTACCCAGAATATGCAGTTACCACACACTGGACAAAATGAACATTTCTGTGGAGTCTGGTAGAGTATGGACTGGGGTAGGCTCCACGCAGCAAATTTGGTCACAACATGACATACCGCCACCAGCTTCGGTCAGGATATCCTCCAAGAATGTGTAAAATGCATAAAATGTCCCTTTACCAATGACAGGAGATGCAAATAGTCTGATGATAGCTCACCAAAGAAAAAGACATTCTGTATTCATTTATTTCCTTCAAGGTTTCCGCAGAGAAAATAAAGTACCGGAATCCAGTTCCATCCGGTTCTCCCACGGCCCCCGCCGCGGGTCTCAGCAGCTCGGGCGGCGGGAGGAGCGGCAGCGGCCAGGCAGCGCAGGTTCGTGAAGGCTCTGGGCGCCCCGCGGCCCGCAGGCACCCGGCACGCGCCTAGCCCGCCGCCAAGATGCCGAAGAGGAAGGTCAGCTCTGCCGAAGGTGCGGGGAAGGAAGAGCCCAAGAGGAGGTCGGCGCGGTTGTCAGCTAAACCTGCTCCTGCGAAAGTGGAAACGAAGCCAAAAAAGGCAGCAGCAAGGGATAAATCTTCAGACAAAAAAGTGCAACCGAAAGGGAAAAGAGGAGCAAAGGGAAAGCAGGCTGAAGTGGCCAACCAAGAAACTAAAGAAGATTTACCAGCAGAAAACGGAGAAACTAAAACCGAGGAG